GACAGTGTATATAGATTATAGACAAATATAACTTGTTTCTTTTATTGCGTGTCAATATAATAAAATAAAAACATGTTTAAAATAAGAGGCTTAATCTGGATTTTAAATGTGCTACTTTTTAAAATGCTTTTTTAGTCGCTGTATACGATGCAATAATTCATTTAGTTTACGATATACGTCTTAAAAAATGTAGCCCGATTAATGTGAAAAAAATAACCAAATTTTGAATTCAAGGTCGATTTTAGCAAAATTCCAAGTATTCAAATGGATCGTTACTAGGGCATGTACAATATTAAATATAACGTATTATACATGGTTTTATACGGTATAATACTGTATGTTATATGTATTATATGTTTTATGCATACGTCTTATACATTTTATGCATATTATACGTATTATACATACGTATTATACGTAAGAAATTATTCGTAGCTCTAAATTTCTCAACTCTGGTCGTTACTTTCCTCAAATTGTAGGTCTGTTCACCCGGAACAAGATACAGTTGGAATTTTCTCGGAATCTCCTGCAGGACCTTTAAAAGTTGCATTTAACTGGATTATAAAACGTGTTTAATAGAAACAATTTTTTTACAAGTTCTAAAGTATATCACTTTGTGATTTTGTCCAGGGTTGTTAAAATTACCGTTTTTTAATAACACATTACAATTACCGTTATTTGCGATAAAAATAATTTGTTGCTTGTTATTCGTTACCGATTCTAAAAAGTAACATGTTATTGTTATTTAAAATAATAGAAAAATCGTTATTTTTTTCATTATATTTCAAAAATGATTGCATTTATGTAAATTATAACTACATAATAACAAATCATTTTTAATTTACATTTTTGTTTTATTTTATTAGTCCTTTATTAGTTCATTATTATGATACATATTTTTATTTGCATCAGCACATATATCTTAACTTTAAGTTATAATTAATTTGTATCACTAAATCTTGAATTTTTGTTTAATAATAGGTAATTGTTCAATAAGTCCGTCTGTTAGGCAGTCGAAAATATCGGTTTTTTGTACTATAAATTGTGATTTAGTTATCGTTACTGTTATTCATTAGGAAAAATAACTTCGTCACTCATTCGTTATTAAAAAAAGTAATCAGTAACTTTGTTACTTTTTTATGCTAACAATTATTGAATTATTAAAATTATTAAAATTATTTAAATTATTTTTATTTAATTATTGAATTAAATAAAATAAACGATTTTAGTCAAATGATTATTAGCGATTTATAGAATGCATATAAGACTACAAGATGGCAATAAAAAGTTTCGGTATTTGCAATTTCAATTCAAATTCCTATACAAAAAATGATGTGATCTTGGAAAATGAAATCTCAAAAATTACTTTCTACTATCGAAAACACGTTTGACTACCTAAACATAATAACGCACATAAACTAATCAAATTTCATTGGTAAAGAAGACACACGAAATGTCATCTACAATATAAATTGGGAACTCATAAGATATATTTTTGCACTCAAAATTCAAATGCCAGCTTAGTCTCGATGCTCACTTAAAGTTCCAGTCGCTCCTACATAATACAAAAAAAAATATGATTTCATTAATTGAAATAGACTACATATTAATATTATACAATTTGAGGAGAATAACGAACCATTTGAACACTTAAAACCTTACTAAAATGGACCTTAAACTCGAAATTTGATCATTTTTTTACATTAATCGGGCTGTTTTTTAAGGCGTATATATCGTAGAGCTAAATAAATTAGCATCATGTTCAACAATTGAAAAAATATATAAAATCAGAAAAATATTTAAAATCCGGATTAAGCCATTTTTATCAAATTCAACATGTATTAAGGAAAATCGAAACTTTGATTTAAAAATCGGGTAAAAGTATCGATTAGAGAACAATGCTCCAATGATCTTGACCTTGACATATGTTGTCAAGGTCATGACCCTGAGTGATCTCAAACAAGTTTTAACCGTCGCTCGTCCTTCGTTAAAAAGTTATAAACAATAGATGTTTTAGGAAATAACGTCTCATTTCTGCTATACAAAATTAAAATTTTGACTTCCACTGCTTGAGGGCGCGCGATTTTTATCAGAAGCGACTCTCATTATATAATATTAAAAACTATTCTTATAATATTAAAAACTATATCCTTCCTTGCTTACGTAGTGACTTCATGCGAAGCAATTTTCATTTCACTCTTCCCTATTTCAGGGCCGCACGACTTCCACGCACAAAGCGACTTCCACCTTTCCTGCTCTCCTGCTCAGGGGGCGCATGATTTCGTCGCGAAACGACTTTCTCGCCATCTTTCTCCTGACTGGAGGCGCACGACAGAAACGTGAAAATCGCTTCACGTGAAAAGTCATTACGTGAGCAAGGAAAGATTTAGGATAGTTTTTAATATTAAATATAGCACAAATAAAATATTTTTTTTAAACTTTTTTTGTTAATAACTTTTTAATGAAGAACGAGCAGCGGCTAAAACTTGTTGGAAATCACTCAGGGTCATGACCTTGGTAACATATGTCAAGGTCGAGGTCATTGGAGCTTGGTCTAATATCTAATCGATACTTTTACCAAAAATTGTTCTAAATCTTAATATTTTGTGATAAAAATTAAGAGGTGTTTTTTTGCATAAAATGGAAGCTTTTGAATTGAGGCCGATTAAAAAAAATTTTTTTTTCTTGTCAGTCTAATACATATATAGTGAGTACAAAAAATATTTGTAGAGAAAAAAATATTTTTTTAAAAAACAGTTCTAAAAAATAAATATTATCCAGTGAAAAATGAATCATCGAATTGATGTCGAATTGATATCAATACGATGATTTCAACACCAATTTGATGTCGATTCGATGTTTAATTAACGATCATTTCTTGCTGAGTAATTAATAATTTATTCATAAAGAATAAAATAGACTGTATGTTTCTTAAAATTATATACACCAAAAAGATATTAATTATAGAAAATATAACATTTAAAAAATAAGCTAATAAAAAATTGTATTGTTTGGATGTTCAAAAAGTATTCATACAGTCGAGAAATTTAGTTTCTAAAATCAGGAATGCATGCGAAGCTCATTAGTTTTTGTTAGAACAGAATGTATTTAGTGCATAAAATTGCTAATTAATATTTATTTTCTATAAATAACATACTTTTTTTGTAAAAAAATTATGTTGTACGAATACTTTTTGCATTCATTGTATGTATAAAAATCTTGTATCACGCACTGCGCTTTTTTATATCATTGTAGTATATTTTTAAGAAATTTTTTTTTCGTTGTACGGAAGTATAATAACAGAATGTCGGGGGCAATATACATATCACGAAAAAGATGTTGTTTCCTCTAAACCTATATAATTCTTACGTCGTGTTTGCGATGTGGGAATTTCCAGATTTCCTCGTGAGACTGTTAATTTAAGTGATATTGTCTTCTTGTGATTTTTTGTTGTAAATAATAACATCGAACAGTATGAGACACAAAAGAAAGAAAAATCTTTCAATTTCTCTCAACATCGTCTTTTTTTATTAAAAATAATTGAGTTTAACATATATAGGAATATAACAATAATAACATTGTTATGTCCTTGTTATTAATATAATCGTGGTTATGCTATATTTATATGATTTTAACAGAAGATGACTATGTACATGAATGAAAAGAGATCTTATTATACATTCTTTTAACGACAGCGACCTTAAATTACTAAATGAACACTGATTCGATTGACGTTTAACGTTGATAAATATCTTGTTTTGATTCTTTTTTTATGTTCTATATTAACATAAATAGACGTATATCTTGCACAACTATCTGACCCATTATCTCAGCTGATTAGAGCGTCGCGCTAATAACGCATACTGTCGTATCGCTCTAAAGTTCCATACAAAATACAAGAGAATAGCGATAGCGATAGAAAGAACACCAGATTTCAACTTATCAGATATCGAATATACATCGAAATATACAGTTTCTGATGAATTGAAATCTGGTTATTTCTATCACTATCGCTATTCCCTCGCATTGTATCTGAAGCTTAAGTCGTACGTAAAAATTTGATTATATTTCGACTAAAACGTATTTTGTCAAAGACACGTTAACTTTTTATTATCATATCATATTGTTCATCTTATTATCTATGAATTAATATATATAAATTAATATATATAAAACCTTTGTATATAATAAAATCTTTTTTTCGTAGATATATGTTCTTTGAATGCGGATCAATATTTCTCTATTGACATTATATACACTTTTTCTATTTACATTAAAATACCGCACTCACAAGGCGCAAATATTTTATTCTCACGTTGTCATACATTTTAGAACAATTACACTTTGTTGATCGCAGATTTCATTCCATCAATGTAGAATCGCGGATACTCGTGTTAAAATACAAATTGTATTTTCTTCTATTATTTTTATAATACATCATTTCAGAAACATGCTTCAGAGTATTGTTCATTTATTTATTGCACATTAATAAAGAAAAAAATTTACTAGAATTATTTATGTTTACATGTTGTTGCTTCATTCGTTGAATATTTGTTAATCGCGTATAAGTTTTTTTAAGATCTTCGACTTTTCCATACATTATATACTTCTTTATTCGTACTTGTTTATCTTTCGACATATATCGATTTGACAAACATACATGTAATTTATAATTGTATATTATAATAATATAATAATACTCGTGAGCTCAAGATGCATTTTTTAATCGCGCGCGCAGGTTGAAACTTGAGAATGCCTGAAATTCCATTTATCATGTATCTATTTAACTAGCAATTTTCTCCATTTTCATTGTTCATCCATTCATCCTCATCCAATTCAGTGAATTAATATGATGTCAAGTCGTCAAAATTTGCGACTTTAATTTAATTCGCGAAATGCGATTATTATTTAATGTAATAAAACTAATCTTTTTCTTAAGCGATCACCGGAATTTAATTATCTAATTAATTAACAAGTATTATCAAAAATTAAGATTTTGTGTATTTATTATACGAGTATATATACATATATAATGTATGAAACCACTTTTGCACGAGATATAATGTTAATCATTTTGTAATCTTGTTTCACTGCAATCGTCCACTTGAATTCGACAAAACCGTCATTTTTATAATATAATTCGAGATTCGTTTTCGTATGTATGCACATATGTTATACATGTTTTTTTGTCAATTTTGTTCATTCTCACTCATCTTACAGTGCTTAGAGTCCGTTCGATTAATCGGATACTTATCAGTGAATATTTTAAACTTTCAATTCGACTGCGTTTTGCATCTTGACGATCGCGAACAAATAACTCGTCTCATCATAAGTTTCATCCTCGGAATTGCTCTCCAAATCCGAATCCGAATCCGGCAGCGGCTCCGGTTTTGCGCCATATCGCACCAGTTCTCTGGCAAGCTGGCTGTCGATACACAGTGCTAGCTGATAGGCCGTTAGGGCGCTGTACATCTGTGTGTCTAAACAAGGCTTGCATTCTTGCAACAAGAAGTTAACTACCGATCGACATTTCCGTTCCATTGCAAGGTGAAGTGCTGTTTTTCCCGCTAAAGCTTCCCTCGCCTCGAGATCGGCACCGAGACGCAACAGAAGACGTACCAAGTTCACGTGTCCGTTAGTGGCGGCCAAGTGCAAACACATCTCACCTGAAATCAAGAAACCGGAGATTAAATAGTGTTTATGAAACAACAGTATTTGGAAAAAGAGTTTCTATTCTCTTATATTGTTATTTATTATTTATTTTTGGAGAATAATCATGTATAATAGAACACTGAAGTTATATAATATCAGAAGAATGTCATCATGATTTTATTTGTCATTTAATATTTAATTGCAATCAGCTGATGGCACAATGCCTTCGCGCGAATTTTGATGTTATATGATCCATCGACGATACATAAAAATATCAGTTTTATTCTTATCGCCATATACATCATCTATTATTATTGTATGCAATTGTTATAGATAAAAAATATGAACGCAAAATTTGTTGTTTGACAACGCATAATCAATTGTGTACAAGTATTATACGTTATTAAATGATACAATATAAATACCATAATTAAACGCGCGCGCGTGCACGAGGTACGAATTTATGATAAAAAAATGAGTGCAGCTCAATTCACATCATATAGCGACTTGCACTTAATTTTTCAACTTTCCTATTAATTTCCCTTGAACCAGTAGGGACATGGGAATGCGCACATCAAAACGAATGCATATAGTCTAGTCACATACTTGTCGTGAGATATAGATAGAATTAGGAAGACATACGGTGACTCATTGTCGTTGGAGATTTCGCTGGTGTCTCGCGGTCCAAACTAGGCCCGCGCTGATTGAAGTAACTTGTATCTAAAATTAATAGTGTACCACGTTACTAGTTGCATTGGCAGAATTTAACGACATACTTGCGTATATATCATATATTGCGTCGACATCGATCATCTCGTTGCCAATGGTAGAAATAAAAATCTAATCATCGTAGATATTAATAAACATAATGGTATATGATATGAAGGGTCGCTTCAGTTTTTTTTTTATCATGCTATAGCTACGTAGAATCGATTGCAATGACTGAATTAAAAGAATTAATAGAATTTAATTCTATCTATAATACGTTTGTGTCTAAAGAATAAGAATGTCAGCGTTGATGAGGCTAATAAATTTAAATCATAGATCATATTTTCAAAAAATTTAGACAGATATATACTGCCACGTGAAATAAAAAGTTTTATCAAATTATTAATGCTTGTTTAAATTAGGAAATTCAAAGACTACTATTGCGAGACTAGAGTTAATGAAGAAAAATTGAATTTTTAAGGGCGAAAATTCAACAGAAGTCACCGACGTCGACGCCGTTGTGGAGTTTTCCGGCCGAATGAGACGAGGCAAGAATATCGAGCAGCATGCAAGTTATAGTTCTACAGATATTTTTAAGTATCAAGAACATCTGCTCTCTAGCTCCGATCTCTTGACACGCCCGCGTCATATGATGTAATACGTGCACACACACAAATATAATATAGGATCATGCCAAATTCCATCGTGTGTACAAAACAATCCCTCTCGCACAGCTACGCTAAACTATTTGAAAAATATTCGCTGGTCTTTTATCGACAAATGAGCTTTGCGTCGATTTTGAAGCGTTTTTCTATGATAAAATTTAAAATAAGAATTGTTAACAACTAAAAATAGCCCTTACACATTGGAGAATTACATACTGCGCAAAAAGTGTTTAGTATAATGTGGTCATTTTCGAGACTAACTATACAATATCTTTTTGTATACAGAATTATAAATGCATATAATTATTATTACTAACATTAGAGCGATAATAACTATAAAATGGAGCTCTCGTAATTATAACTTCTCAATGGATACTTATACATATATAATAATATATGTGCACTGAAAAAAAATATTTAAAATATCCGTAATTATAATTTCATTATAAAATAGTTATGATTACGAGAGCTCCATTTTATAATTATTATCGCTTTAATGTTAATAATAATAATTATATGCATAATTCTATATACAAAAAAATATATACCTAACTTTGATTCAAGAATCTTACAAGAATTCCAACTATGTGAACCAATTATATGAAAGTCTTGTAAACAAAATAATCTCTTTTCTCGAGAAGAAATAATAATGTCGTGTTTGTGCCTTTAGAAATAAATTAAATTATAATGAAATTGCTTTTGCGGAAACATCAATTTTATTTAATTCCAGCTATGAGCGTGTTGCAAAATTCATCACCAATTATCTTCCACTGCTTGTTTTAAAGGCAATTATTATTTAATCGTAAAACTGAAAGCGCATTTCTCGAAAAAAGAGAAGAAAAAAACAACCTTGGAACACAATTATTCTAAATGAATAACTGATCTCTCGGTCACGCGAAAGAAGGACTTAGGACTCATTCAAGTCATTATCCTTAATTGTAAATCTGAATGAATAGTGCGAGTTATCTAACGAAATGCGCGTAGAATTTTATGAAACCACATTCGTGGTTCCGCCCTCGAATTCGACACAAATTCATTACAAGCATGCACCACGCTTCGCACGTGCGTGCGTGTCTATAATATAGGTGCGTTATCCGCGTCGCATGAACTTGCAGCGGAAATATGCGCCGATGACGCTACACGGGATTTCCAAGACTTTTAAAAGTTCATGAATATTTCACAATATCTGTTGATCAAAGTAATTTTTTTCTTTTTTTATTTGTCGCCATCGTGAAAATCTTAGATTTGAAAGAGGAGCGATAGAAAGCATCTAAATGCTTTTTTCGCTTCTAACGTTTTTTTTTCTTTTTCTTTTTCTGTCTTTTTTTTTATTATAAAGGTATATGAATTTCTAATTTACGTACTACGCGACATGCATCTCTTTCTCACAATGTCAAATTTTGCAGATTTCAAAATTCAATTTATTCACGTCAATAAATCGCATATTCAACTTATTGTCAATTTATTCGATTCTTAATTTGTGATGACAATAAATATAGTCATTTCCAATGGTAACTCAATAATGGATGTACCGATGAGAGATACTAGTACATTTACACTCGGGGAATTCCTACGTTATTATGACAAAAAGAATAGCGTCCGTCAGGTAGAGCGTGACAATAATACGACAATAATTATTGAAGAAATGTGTCAAAATATGCCGCATCATTTATAATCACCAATCGCGATTAATAACAACAATGTCGTAGTACATTTTTTTGCAATATTTCGATGTACGCTATATTGAATACCTAAACGAATATCTTTTTTAGAGTCTTCATATATTAAGCCTATTGTATAATTATGTAATTGTATATAATTGTAAGAATTGATCAATCACAGTCGAATATTCTTCTCGTATTCAACAGTGATTGGTAATTTCTTACAACTACAGTTACTTACAACTACGCAATTGTAAAATGGGTTTCAGCTAAATAAAAATTCATGAAAATGCGCGCGTGTGTGTGTGTGTGTGCGTGCGTGCATGTCCATGCGTGCGCGCGCGCAGAGTATATACTCATTTCTATAACCGCATCTCCAAAGATTATTCTCGCGAAAGTGTCGTTCTTAATCATTTAATTTATGCATAAATCGTTTGCACTCTCGATATTGAATAATCTTGATATTGAAAGAATTGCAAATTATTCTGAATTAACAAAAAAAAAGTTGTATTGAAATACGTAGAATACTCAGACAGCGATTTTTGAAATTCAAATTACATCAATCAGATTAATGTCTTTTTTTTCTTGCATAAGTAATTGAATATTTCCCATGTGCCTAAAACGATGAAACTTTCAAACGTGATTCTCGAAATAAAAGTGACGAAATTATAAGAAACCCACATGACTCCTCGTGTCCATGTTCGCTATTTGCGAACCTTATATAGATGACTTATTCTATGCGGTAAAAGCAGTTAGGATTTTCCTACTAGCTCGGTATCCTTCATGACTATCGTCACGTAAACGACATTGATTCTTTCCCCACATTATGATGATTAACGGCAATTATGTTGCAAGCTTCCAAATAGCTGCTGTCGTACAACCGCAGGGAAAATCATAGATCATTAAGGTAAAACATACAAGAATTTTTTCTCGTGCTTACATAATCTTTCAGCTACGAATGCGCTGTTTCGTCCTTATAATTCCTTTTCAATTTTTGTCGGTATTCATAGTCAACCTTATATTTACGGCTTCCTTAAATTTATCTTTATATGTTCAGTAGCCAATAAAATAATTCTTAGTGCATCTGAAGATAAATTTAAGGAAGCCTTAAATATAAGGCCTGACTATGAATATACCGGGCATTTGTATATAAATAATGCTTCTTCTATAGTCTCTATTATTATTCATCATTATAAATTCTTTTAGTACCTATTATTATTCATCGCTATAAATTATATAGTGACTGTTCCGAAGAAAGAGAAAGAACAGACCAATAATATTTAGCAATATTTAGAACCTACCGCTATAGTTACGCTGCTCTAAATTCTGAGGTAAAGCTGGTACTATTTGTCCGGGTATCAGATTATTCCTTTCCATTGGGGACAATGGATCCGTCAGTGCCTTGGCACAAGCAAGATCCCCATTCATGCACGCTAGGTGGAGAGCTGTGTTTCCATGAAAATTTCTCAAAGATGGATCTGCACCCGCCAGAATCAGTCGTCTAACGATTAGCGACTGATTCGTCAACACTGCCAGATGCAAAAATGATTGCCAGTCATCGTTGTAGATGTTCAACAGACACGGATGAGGAGCCAGCCTTATCAAAATGAGCGCAGCCTCCACGTAACCCTGCATGATCGCGATGTGCAATTGCCTGTGACAATAAATGCGTTATGTAAGAGTAAGTTGCCAAAAAGAGTTGATACAAATTTGAGGTTTGCATTATAACTCTTATAACTTAACGCTCTTATTACTTAATTCTTAATCCGAATATTTGTGGCCCGATAATTCTTTCATTTCTTATTTACATTTTTCAACGTGTTATGTTAAAATTTTCTTTTAATATAAAGAGGCATTTTTAAAATAAAACTTTCATATACATAATTTATCGTTGTCAATCAGCTAAATTTTAAAGAATTTTTTAATAAAACTAGTTTAATCGAATCGGTCAACAAATTTCGCCAAATATCGTCACATCACACACATGTATGTATACACATATACGTCATTAGATTTACGTAAACACAAACGTTAGTCAATTAACATATTGGTGCTTGTACATGACTGAACTTGTGCCAGTTTGTTAAAAAAAAATTCCTGATTAAATATTATGCATTCTAATAAAAGAAAAACGAACGTGATAATTAAGTGATTTTTAGAGACAATGGTCATGTTCAGACACAACTGTTGCGGAATGGTTCGTGAACTGCTATAGTTCGCTGCTATTGATGTATTCTTCTAGATCATCTAATAGCAACAAGAATTCACGGATTCACTTTATAACAGCTGAATTTGCTGAACACGATCATTGGCTACGCCTTCAGCAAAAAAAGCAGCTTTGCAATCATTATAAAATTCTTTAGTATAATTGGTTTTGCCCTTAATTCTTCATTGAATCTAAATATATTAAATTAAAATATTAAAGAATTGTACAACAATTGTAAAATTGTACAACAATTGTAAAGCTGCTTTTTCTGTTGAACACAGCCAATTATTAATTAGGTTGAATTATTAATCGTCGATTAGTTTATGATATGATAGAAATTAAGCAGTAAAAACTTCTCTCATTCTTTTCCTCACTTTTTTACATGAACGTAAACTTGAGGAAATATATCTCGCACATGAGATTTGACACGAAAAATTTTTTTGATTTCAAAAATTAGTTCTGGTATCCTAAATATCGATATCAAAATATAACTATATATTTTGTTAGATAATCCGAAGAGATTATCAGCCCAATTATGCTGTGTAAATTTTGCTGTGTCCATAATTTTTCGTCAAGTTACGTAAATTATTATATTATTACGATTATTATTATTATCAGCAAACAAATTTGAAATATTAATGACAAAAAGAAGAAATTAACAGAAACATTAAATTAATTTGAAATATTAGCGATAAAACTCGATAAATTAATAGAACCAACCAAGGACAAGTTATTTTTATTTTTCGGGTTGTGTAAATCGGTCTTTATTAAACGAAATTGTGTCATAAATTATGTATAGATGTTCCGCTAGTACCATTATTTTTCAACGGCTGATCTATTTACATAATCTATTTATAAGCAGCCTCTAAGAATTGATTTCTATGTATAATTATATAATATAAAAATTATTCAGCAATATACTTTGTTAAAAATTATTTTCTATTTTTCCAAATATCATATTTCTATCCAGGTTAGTAAACACAGAGGCTGTACATATTTACATGACAAAATTTTATTATATTTTAGACATAATTTTATCAACATTAAATGCTTGAAAACAATTTTAACTGATACGTTTATATCCGATGATTCCAGATATAATAATAATGAGTTGCTTAGAAAATACGAATTATCAGCAAAATTCAAATAAAAAATTTTTTAAAAATAAATTTAATCTGTAGAATATGTATCATTTGTTCAACAATATTTTTCTCTCTTTTGGACAATTAATTCCTCGCTCATAAAAGTTCCAGGCTTTTAAACATCATCTACTGAAAAATTCGCACAGACTTTCTGAACGATCCAATAATTTATTGCATATTAGATAATAACATTAGATAACCTAAGTACAATATAATGTTAGAATGTTAATGGTCAAATTTGAATTTGTGACAAAATAAAAGAGAGGGATAGAAATTCAAAAAAAATTTAGTGCAGTAGAAAATCATTTTCAATTAAGGTCTTATGCTTAATATAATTTTTTAAATGTCCAGTTCGAACAAATTGCGCGCTGATTATTTGTAGGTCTTGAAATATAGTCTTGCACAAATGCAATATCAGAAATTAAGTTGACAAGTAACTCAATATTATTGACGCTAATAAGTAATAAATTATTTACACTGCTTTAAAGATGTTTTATTAATATCAATAATATTAAATTACTTGACGATTTAATTTGTAATATTTTGTAGTATTTCAGCTTCAGTGTAAGACTATGTTTCAAGACCGACGAATAATTACAATTTATTTGAACTAAAAATTGTAAAAATTCACACAATACATTATTAAGCACTAAGATCTACCTTGGCCCGAATATGGCCCCCTTCACTCGCGTTTCATATAAATTAATAAATATATAATAGATAACACAAATATGTCAAACTCACGTGTCACCATCATCGTCCTGCATATAGTAAAGCTGCCAAGTATTCTCATTAATTATTGCACATTTCTTGACACCTTCTTGCTGATACTCTTTGAGCAAAAGATCGTCCCGGTGCTGCCTCAGTCTTTGGTTCGATTTGAACCCCGTTTTTACGGGCATTAGTTTAAAGATTGTCGTCGGCTCGGGTTGAATTCCGCTGTCAATGGCGAGGGGATTCAAGCCAGGGAGCTGAACGGGTTGCTTTTGCAAGGTGAGCTGGTTCAGGCTTTCGCTGAGGTCGACGTCCACGACGCCGCTGTCGACGACCGCCGCCACTATCGCTAACGATAACGGCGATACCGAGGTCGTCGCTCCCGATGTCGATGCAACTTGCTCGTTTATCCGCCAATTGTCTTCCTGTCGCGGCTGTGATACACAAGACTCGCGAATCTCGTCGCTGAGCTGCATATTGCCAGCCGATAGAAATCCGGAGTCGACATTATCGTTCACAAACTCGTTGTCATTGTCGTCGTCGTCATTGTTCCCATCGTCCCGCAATCTCTTCTCGACTCCTCGAACACACTCCTCCTGAGCGCTCTCGCTGGAAGAGCACCACATTTTTGGTCGATCTTCGCGGTCCTGATCGCGGAGCGGCGGAAAAAGTATTTTTTCTTCCTCAACTTGAGAATCGCTCGTTTCGGAAAATAAATAATAATCAACACACTGTCACTTTTGTACTGCGCCGCGCGATACGACGTGACGGTAAATTTACGTGATGGTAAATGCCTTCTTTTTCTTTCCTAATTATATTTCTAATAATTCTAATCCGTGAGATTTGTTATGGATGTTCCATTTGTGTTCTCTGTAATTTGTATCCGACGCGAAATTCTCTTTTGGTATGAATACTTACTTCGTATTATCTTTCGCTGTTACACACTGTATATAAGTTATTGTATGTCGTCAATTCTTTCGATACACTTTCGAGTCGCTCGTAAGTCGAATCTCCTCGGCATCTTTCTCATTCGCTCTCGCCGACGCGTATATAACCAGTCTTCTATTCCTTTCTTCCTATTTTTAATTGTTACTCTCCACTTTGAAATGCGCGCGTATATATTCTCTTTTTTTTTCTTCTTCAACCTGAAGGTTCGACTTGCGTCAGCTGTGGACGCAGTATTATTCTGTTTTACGTCATTTGCTGCACCAGGAGAATGAGATGCATTTGGGCTGATTTCTGTTGCAAAGAGATAGAAAGCGCAAACGGAAAGCGGCTTGATCGGGCTTGTCGTGATATCGAATCGTAGTCGAAATATTGCAAGCATCCGCAAACCTCATCGTCTCACGTCTCGAAACAAACTGTGAAGTGCGAACGAGTGCGGAGTAAATGGGCGAGTTGACTCGAGCGTCAAGCGAACGATAACAAAATCGTGCCGGATAAATGAGACGGAACTCTCCACTTTCGTGCGCACGCGCAAGAAATGTCATTGACCACGTGACTGATCTTGACACATCTGTACCACGGTGCTGTACGCAAAGCGTCCCTGTATGGGACCTATCATGTAATTATAAAGTATAAAGAAAAATTGAGTCCCGGTGAAATGAGTTGATTCTCACATACGTTGTAACTTATAATGTGAATAAAAAATGTTATATTTTATATATTTACACACACACACATACACACACATATACACACATATACACACATATACACACATATACACACACACAGAGACACACATATACACAAACACAGAGACACACACATACACACACACACACACACACACACACACACACATATATGTGTACATATACACATACACACACACATACACACACACACACATATATGTGTACATACATGATGGATATCAAATGATGGATATAGTTCTTGAGCTATCAAAAGTGTAAAATCGCCTCACAAAGCACCTCTATTGATACATCCGGCCCATAGAACTCAGATTTCCAAGAGGATGTTCTGAGGACATTCAGACAATGTTCGCATATTATTTGAACATCCTAAGAAAGTTCCCAGCAAACGAGAATGAATTAAAATGGATTGAAATTTTTTTCTATCCGAATGCGTATTTTAAATAGCGAATACTTTTTTTGGATTTAATTGGATTCAATTGGATTCAATTACATTCAATTGGATGCAATTGGATTGAAAAACTGCATTTCCTATTTAAAATTTTGAATTGAATAGTATTCACAATGTGTGTTTTGCACAGAAAAAGCTAATATTATTTTTAAATTGAAAGGCATAGAGATATGCTCTATGCAATTCCTATAAATGAATAAAATGCATTTAGGATTGAGAACATTTATAAATATAACATTCGTGAATCAATATTTTTAAAAATCTGAATCCATTTCAATTTATTTCAATCCATTCTCGTTTGCTGGGAGGTTGATTTAAATGAAAATGACAGATCTTGCTCGGTTTCTGCTATCAATCTGCTGTTAAGTTATATCAGTAGACTCTGCTCAGTTTCTGCTCACAATCTGCAATCAGATTCTGTTAGCAGGATCTATTTGATTTCTGCTAGTATAATTTACAACAAATTAATAAATAGTAAACTCAGGTCAATAAATTCAATGAGCTATAGTTAGGTATAACAAAGTAATATTTTTTATTCAAAAATTATATTTTTTGACGATAAGTTTTACCGGTACGTTTCAACTATACTTAGTCTTCATCAGCCGCAGAAATACATAATTACCCTTAATCAAAATTACATTAACATATTGTAAGGATCATTTCACATTCGAGTTATTAAATAGATACGGTATAACATAACCATATTATATTTAATCAATTTTGTTAAATAATAGACGTAATGATAAGTCATGAATCCAAATCACTTCATCGATTAAAAGGGCAGTATGAGTAAAAGAAAATTCCATTTCCAGTCGTATTATTGATGTAACTTGATGTCAAAATAAGATAGTTGTACATATCCTTAATATTATTGGTAGATAAATTAAATAAAATAAAAATAAAAATATCATCAGAAATTGAAGCTATAAAGATATTATAGATTATAACTTAAACATATCTTTAACAATTAAAATTATATAGGTAAAACAATAATAATTTTAAAATGTATGTATATACATATATATAAAAATTGAACCAAAGCACAAACAAAATATAAATAAAATCGCTTTCAGTTTTTTATAATCAAATTAACAAAATTAAATAGAGTTGTATATACATAATTATAAAGAAATAGAGAATAATTATGCAACACTTACATTATGAAGGCAAATATAAATTATATATATATTGGTTTGCAACAGTCTATTGCGAATACAAAGTATAGAATTTAGAGTCGGTTAACTATTCCGATATAAGACAGATCTTGACAGATCTCTCGTGAGAGATTATATTAACGCAAATGATACCGCATATATATCAGAATGTCAAGATACAAAGAAACTAAGCGCTATCGTTTTTGTTATTATTCGAAATTAAATTTAATAGATAAATATTTATGTCTAGAGATTCGGTGTCTTTTTTCAAATTTATATCATTTAACTGTTCTTTTATATACAATGTTTTAGAAATGAGTCTTTTATTATAATTTGATTCAGTATCCATTATTATAGTATTCTTTCAATCAAAACTATGATTGCAATATATTCCGTTATAACCGAATGTCTAGATGAGTCAAGCTTTATATTGTTAATATGCTCATTTATTTTAGTATTGAGTTTCCTCTTCGTTTGCTTCACATAAGAAACGTCGCAATTGTTACATCGAATCTTATAAATTACATTATTATTGTCAGATATATTTTTTTGTTGTTATAAATTTATTCATTTTCCCAGATAACCAGACGTGTCGAAAGCACGCACTGTAAATTTATGCTACATATTATGTTGGCAAAAATCGGGCAGCAGTCGAATACGATTTGTCATTTCAATTAGCATTAACAAAAATAGAGCAAAAATTCTAAAAACACTACATCATAACAATAAAACAAAATTCATACATTATATGTTGGCACAATATATAAACAAAAAATAAACCAAAAAGCTAGATTTGGCGTGATGTCATGTTAAGTTAGCAAAATATAATTAAAAGTCTGACAAATTTGCTCGATAGAACGGTAAAGCAGCCGGCATACCGCACGACTTATTATATCAAGTACTAACAGAAAAAAACAGTAAAAATCGAGTACCGTCACGATGTGACTATTCAAAACACGACATACGCATGTTGCGATCTGCTTTATCAGCTGTTAAAGACAAAAATGCAGAAATCGCGCATATAATCTGTCGTCATATAATATTTAAAATGTAGCAAAAATTTAAGAAATTCTATGAACTCCCGCGATTAATACAGTCGCTAATTTTATATATATATTAGGTGTTGGAATTAATTCGTAGCGTTTTTAATGAAAGAATGTTATTTATTTCACATGAGCATTAAAAAATACATTAATGAAAGTACTTCCCATCACTTGTAAAACGCTACGAATTAATTCCAACACCTAATATATATATGGTGAAAATTTCGTTGAAATTATTCCACGTTTTGGAATATTTCAGCGAAATTGCTGAAAATTTGCTGAAACTTCACTGAAAGTAAATTTTTCAGCTAACATACTGAAAAATCACTGAAATCCAATCGAAATTTTCTGAAATTTCTCTGAAATTCTTTTTGGAATTTGTCTGAAAATTTTGCTGAAATTTTTCTGAAACCTTGTCGAAAATGAATTTTTCAGCCAAAATTTCAGCTAAAACTAAATTAAAAATTTGCTGAAATTAAACTGAAATTTTGTTGAAAAATGTTCCAAAACGTGGAATAATTTCAACGACATTTTTCCAGCATACGTTGCAGTACGAATTTTGCGTTGAGGATACGCAATTTATACTTTAGTGAAATGTAATATTCGAAGATGAATATGCAAAACATGATGTCATCATAAACATACCAAAGTGAAAACGTCACATACATTCGGAATTTCATCAAAGCAATCTTTCGTAAAAATGAAAATTTTTTTTCTATTATTTCTATTTTTTACATAACTTTTTATTAATTCATCGTATTATGAATAAACTTCACTGTATTCTATATTTATTGCAAGTTGTTCAGAGCGATTAGCTATCATCATCGATCAATCGAAATAACAAGCATTGTACATATGTACCTTAGTAAGTAAAAAATGTTAACTATGTACACTTGTATAAAATTAAGTGTTAAATAAAAAGCAATGCGCATAAAACTAAAAAAAAATGCATCTTTTTATATAACAATAAATATATACATATTCATATCCATTTATACATAGGCGTATCTATTTATACATGGACAAAATCGATATATTGTATGAATAGATATAACCATTTTTTGTTTAATTATATCTAAAAAATTTTTTTACCGGGATCATAAGATCATAAATACTGAACAATAGAGTGAGTTTATAAAATTCTTGATTATAAACATAATTATTATATATCTTGATTATAAAAATAATTATTACCTAAAAACTAACTAAAACTGAATGAAGCAGCGATTCAGATAACCTAAGGTTGGAGTCCCATGTGCTCCCATGAAACGTATTTGTTAATTCATAAAATGAAATTAATAAAATAAAATGAACTACAATAGTGAATCATTTCTGATTGGTTACGCGATTAGGCAATACGCCGAAAATACGCATCATGGGACTTCAACCTAACCCCTGCGCCAATCACACACTTCGAATTATGTCTCTAAAGCTGGAAACACAATGAAAAGCACAGGCAATAGGAACAGGGAATAAAAGATTTCAATCTATTAGAAAGCATCCATTCTATTACTCATGGTTTCTGATAAGTTAAAATCTCTTCCCTGTTCCTATTGCCTATGCTTTTTATTGTTTCCAGCTTAATTGTCAGTCACTAATTGCGTTCAGAAAACTCTATCCCGGTTGCAGCAGCATAGTTTTCTGAACGCAATTAGTGATTGAACATGGTTCGAAGCATGTGATTGGCTAATGGATTTGCCCGGCAATTGAAAACAGATTGTCAATTTTTAATAGAACAATCTTCACATTTGTTCTCCACGAGATCGGATGCATTGGATATTCATACGGATCTGACTTCGTATTGAAGTCAAATTAGAAATTGTAAATAGAAAATAGGTATTAATAATAGATGTAATTATCTTAATGAAAGTAAGAAATGGAGCGAATGTAAGAAAAGATGGACAGGAATATAAACAAAGTTTTCAAGAGACGAAAATTGGGACAATGAAATGTAAAGATGGAGTTTATGCTTTTTCTATGTTTTATTCTCTAAATTTTCGCCTCCTTCAACCCTCTACACTTCGATTTTTATTTTTCCTCTAATTTTTATACGGAAAAAATGGCTATGATTGTCACAATTGTTAATTTTCGCTTATCAATACATTTGATTGTGATAACCATAAGATGAACATATCTTAATAGCCATAGCCATTATCTTAA